TCGTCCTCCCTCCTCTACCTCCGACCCCCTTCTGTCCCCTCACTGATTTCTGCTTGTCTCTTCAATATCTTCCCTCTATATGCTCAACATTTTCTTTCTGCATTCTTTTAAACTTTTAAGAGGTCACAAGTATTCATTTTTAAGCATTTATAATTCAATACACTATTTCATTAACATGATTTTGACAGAAAATATTTCTTATGGCTCTTGTTCTGAGTTTCTATCTCCAAGGGAGTGCACTGGCTGTCTTCCCTGTCTGGAATGACACAATTCCTTCCACAAGTATGTGGAGGAGGGATCTGAGTGTGGAGAGGGTCAGAATTTCCCTACTCACACTCCTCAATCCCACACCTGAAGAATTCCTCTCTTTCCCCCTAATGGAACAAGACCCACCGTGCCCACTAGGCATGTTCCTTGAGCCCTCTCTCTAAGAGAATTTTTCCTCTTCCTAACTCCAGTGGTAAGTGGTAAAAAACAGTGCAAGCCTTCATTCCAAATAAGGAGCTGCAGGGAGTGTGTCCAGTAGCATTGGGTAACTTGCATTCCTGACACATTCAATTCAATTCAACAAGCATTTTTTTTAGAAAGAAATTATTGATCTCTTCTGTTTTTCCGTTGCTTTCATCTTTGAATACATCCCTCTCCTCTCTCCTACCCAGTGAGAGATTTCTTGTAACGCAAAAAGAAGAAGGAAAGAGCAATACAAAAATTAATTTAGACTGCCACTATATGCAGTGAACATCCCGGACTTTGCATCCACTTCCCCAGCAAGGAAGAGGAGTACATTTTCTCACCTCTTCATCAGTGATAAGCTCCAACAAGCATTTATTAAGCCCCTAGTATCTTCAGGGCACTGTGCCAGCATCTGAGGACATACAGACAAAAATTCGGAGAGCTTACATCCCTACTGAGAGTATACAACATGCCACTAGATAAATAAGTATAAAATAATCTGAGAAATGAGAGAGCACTAATCACTAGAAGAATAAGGAAAGGCTTCCCTTGGAAGAGGTACCAGGGTTGAGTGTAGAGGAAGCTAGAGATTCTATGAGGCAAAAATGAGGAGGGAGAGCATTCTGAATATGGGGGACAGCCTGGGCAAAGGCATACAGGCAGGAATGGAATTCTTAGTTGGAGAAACAACAGGTAGGCTAGTTTCACTATACTATGGGAAAAGGGAACAATTCAGGGGTTTGCAGGAGCCAGCTTCTACCAGTTCAGAGAGCCGGTGGTTAAATTTTTAATGTGTACATTTAGTGCTTCAGGAATCAACAAACACTACAAATCAGGGTTTGATCGTTTCTTAAGTTTATTGTCTGAACTTTAAAAAGTGATGGAGAAAATGTTAATATGGATCAAACTTAAAAGTGTATCAGGCATACATGGGAGGGGGAGGAAGCCGGTTGTTCACTATCACAGTCCTCGATACTCTGAAATGAGTTGGGAAGGGGAGTCTATGAAAAGCTTTAAATACCAACCGAATAGCTAACCATGTTATTTTATTTTCTTCTGTTAACTTTGAGTGTTTGATGTCTATCAACAAATATTTCTAATTTCACATCAGAGTTCTATTTGGAAGTGATTTTTATTTGGAGGTTCTATTTGGGGATAGGTCTCAAGACCACCTACCAAAACACAAAAGATACTAAGATCATGACTCTAGAGATGGAACAGACTTCTGAAGATTCCTAGTCCAATCCCCCCATTTTTGTTGTTGTCCAGTCATGTCTGATTCTTCGTAACCCCATTTGGGGTTTTCTTGGTAAAGATACTAGAGTGGTTTTACAGGTGAGGAAACTGAGGCAAACAGGGTTAAGTGACTTGCCCAGGGTAACACAGCTAGTAAGGGTCTAAAGCTAGATTTGAACACAGGAAGATGAGTCTTCCTGACTCTAAGCCTGGCACTCTTATCTGTTGCACTGCCTAGCTGCCCATTTTACCAGTAAGAAAATTGAAGTTCGTAGAAGCTAAATTACTTCCTCAAAGTCACACAGGAATTGTGGTGGAGTAAAGAGACAGTGTAGTCTAGGGGATAGAACACTGGCCTTGAAATCACAAAGATCTTGGGGCAGCTAGGTGGCACAGTGGACAGAGCACCTGCCCTGGATTCAGGAGGACCTGAGTTCAAATCCAACCTCAGACACACATCACTTATTAGCTGTGTGAGCCTGGGCAAGTCACTTAACCCCATTGCCTAGCCAAAAAAAAAAAAAAGAAAAGAAAAGAAAGAAAGAAATCACAAAGACCTGGGTTCAGATCTTACCTCCAATATTCATTAGCTGTGTGACATTAGGTAAGTCACTTAACCACTCTAGGACTCAGTTTCCTCATCTGCAAAAGGAGAAGCCTGCACTCCAGATGATTTCTAATCTCTGATCCTGTGGCCTGCATGGGAAAGGGGGAGGTTTGGAAGGGAAGAACCACATCAATGAAATGATATGTCTTTGAAATATCAAAGTAAGTTCTGTTCTAATGTGACCCACTGCTCTTCCCGATAACTTGAAGGAACACAGCCACAAGGAGGCAGGGCACAGTTTAAAAACAGATGTGGCCAGCCCCAGGATGTTGAGAAAACCACGCCACAAACATTGCAAGCTCTGCTGAGACTCAGTTCTCACCTACCAACAACTCTCCCAGGGAGTCTGGACTCGGGCTTACCTGGTAAACAATTTCTGGGCCACACTTTTCTGGAAACCTCCCATCTCCACTCCCTGTAGTGTTTCCCCAGATTGCCTTCATTTGGCAAATACTGCAGCTTTGAGCTTGATCTTCATTGCACCACCTGGTCACCAGACATCCATCTCTATTAGCAGAGCCTGGTCTAGCCTGTAATAGTATCACCTATCTTCTGTCACTTACACAGGCCCTACAGTTGGCATTTCTAAATTTCCAAAGATTCATATAATTCATAGATTAATAGCAACTTAGAGCTGGAAAGGACCTCAGAGGGCATCTTAATTCAATACTCCCCCCTCGTCTTGCAGATGAGGAGAGTGAATCCCAAAGAGGCAAAAAGGTTTTCCTGGAGTCCCACAAATAGTTGGTAACAGGTCTTGAGAGGTCTTTTGGAGTGCTGGAATCAAGGGAGACCTTGGTTTAAATCCTGACTCTGATACTAATCATCTTTGTAGCAAGGACTAGGCAAATAACCCCTCTTAGCCTCAGTCTCCTCATTTGTAAAATGGGAATAAAACTTTCTGTATACAACACTTTACAAGGTTGTTGTAAGGATCAAATGGATATATATATATATATAGATATATATATATAGATATATATATATATATATAGGCATATATGTGTATATATATATATATGTGTGTGTATGTGTATATAAAGTGCTTTGTAAACTTTTACATGATATATGTGCTTGTATATATGTGCATGTGTGTTTGCATATGCGTACAATCTGTTTCCTTGTGTATGTATAATGTTAGCTATTATTATTAATTTCAGTTCAGCAAGGGTTAATTAAGGGCCTATTATGTACCAGGCACTAGGCTAGGCACTAGGAATTCAAAGACAAAAAATGAAACAGACCTAGCCTTCAAGGATCTTATGTGATATTGGGGGAAACTAGTAAAAATTAAATACATATGTACATAAAAACACAAGTACATATGAGGTAGCAATACCCCAGAGAGGAAAAGGCAACCAAGAAGATTTGGAGAGGCTTCTTACAGTGAGTAGCCCTTGAGCTGAGCTTTGAAGAAAGTTAGAGATTCTAAAAGGAGGAAACAAGGATGGAGCCTGTGCAAAGGTGTGGAGATGGGAGATAAAATGTTATTCATGGGGAGAAGGGCAAAAGAGTCTGCTTGGATGAGCTATACAATGGATGAAATAGTAATATACAATCAGTCTTAAAGGCTGGAGCCAGGTTGTGAGGCGGAGTTCACATTGTATCCTCAAGGCAAGAGTGAGCCAATAGAGTTTCTTGAGCAGGGAATTTAAATTGTTAGATCTAGGCTTTAGGAATATTAATTTGGCAGCTGTGTGGATGATGAATTGGAAAGAGGATTGATGGGAGCCAGGGAGATCAACTAGATGGCCATTGTAACAGTCTAGGCAAGAGATGAAGAATGTTTGAACCAAGATGGTAGCCATGTAAGAAGAGAAAAGAAGAAAGATGCAAATATACATGTATATATACCAATACATGTGTGTACATATATTTCACATGTGGGCACACATATGTATATATACATGGCATATATGTGCGCATGTGTATATGTATGTGCATTGTATAAATACGCATAAATATGTGCATACTGTGGAAATAGAGTTGGCATGGCTAGGCAACTGTTTGGATATAAGAAGTGAGGGCAAGGGCAGAGTCAAGGATGACTCCAAAGTTGCAAAGCTGATGGTGGTATACTCAATAGAAATAGGCAAGCTAGGAAGAGGACAGGGTTTTGGTTTAAAAAAAAAGAGTTCTGTCTTGGACATGTTGGGTTCGAAATGCCTAATGGACATACCGGGGGAAATACTCAACAGGTAGCTGGTGCTATGGGATTATAGTTCAAGAGGGTAATGAGATCCATATGGGAAACAACATAGACAGCACCTATTCCCCTCAGCTGCCTTTGTCCCAGAAGCCCTAGAGAAGAACAATCATATGAGACTACTGACTTCAAGTTAAAAAGAAAAATGAAAGAGCAAAGTACGGAGAATGGGTAAAATTTAGGAGAATGGGTCATTAAATGAACTGTGTATGCAGGAGGTTGGGAGCAAGGCTTTTGAATTTGACCAACCAGCCCAGAAACTTTTGGTAGTGGGGTAGTAACTCCTGGCTTTCTCCTGTGGAAAGTCACTAAGCAGTAGAGTCCGAACACCATTGAATAAAAACATAATTTTGCTGAAGAAAGAGGATCAGCAACTGTGACAATTATCAGAGAAATTCCTAGCTAGGTACAAATCTATTAAAAAAAAGATACTTTCATAATGAAAATAGAATCCTGAGACACATAGTTGTTTCTGAAAAGAGGATACCAATATATTACCTCTACTGGGCCCAATGGACACAAGGCCACGCAGACTTCCCAACCTCCAGCAAAGAGAGAAAAGGACAGTCAATCATTCCTCTGCTTTCCTAAAGAAAGAAAAGAAATTGTCTTCTTCTCTGGTGTCCATCAGTGGAAAGAAGAGTATTCTTCATTGCTTACCAGGGAGATGAAAAAGAAGGGGTATTTTCCAGGGAAAATTTCCCCTCCCTCCAGGGGCCTCTATTGTTTTTCCAGAAGAAGAGGAAAGGCTGGGAGGCAACATCTGACCTTCTGCATTCCAAGCTCTGCCAGATCCAAAGGTCAATAGAGGTGCCCCTCTTTCAAAAGAAAAGTCAGTTTTGTATCAAGGGGGTCCTGCCCTGTTGGTACCAGAAAGCTGCTTCCTCAACACTGTTAGATGATTTGTGTTAGTGTCCTCTTTCTTGTAAGCTACTCTTCTAATTGAACCTCTTTAAAGGGAGGAATGTTTTGAGGGGGAGGAAGGAAGAAGTTATTCTTCCCCTTTCCCCCAATTACAAACAGCTATAAGGTAATTAAATATCAATTGTAAATATGTTATTGTTAAAGAGGGCAGATTTCTAATTGATATTTCTCTATGAAATTGTTCATGTCTACCAGAACAGACATTGAACTAGAGAAATGACCATGTGTCAAGGTGTGGGAGGGGATTAGTTCCTAAGAAATTGTAGTCAGAGAAAGAGAGTGTTGCCTTTCTAGATGATAACCCTGAGCCTGCATCCTTGCCCCATACTCATGATCAGGACTGCTTTCCTAGAGCCCATCATCAAAACATCATGTATTTATCCCAGTATTTGGTTAGTTCAATGGAAGGAATCTTGTAGAAACCAGAATCTTCCTATCTTATTTTTGCCCTAGAGCTTGTAGTAAGGGAGTAAACCTTTGACTTTTCCTCCTGGTATTACCATGAGATAATACATGTCCAATAAGAAAGTAGTTGCCTGTCTAACAAGTCTAACAGGAAAAGTATATTTCCCATACTTTACCACCATGTCTTAGCTGCTATCTCATCCTGGAACTTCCCTCAGCATCTAAGACCTTCTCAACCTGTAACACCATCTTCTAATCAATTCTACTCACTCTGGAACATCCTTCTGCCATGCCAGTCCTCTCCTCCCATTGGTGAGAGCCTCCAGAGACCTCCATTTTGAGGAAGGACCCTTTATTTCCCTCTTGGCCCTCCTCCTGACTCTGCAGACTTCAGCACCGTGACCATACTATGTAAGTACTGCCCTCCCAATACACCCCCCCCCACACACACCTTTTCATCTCCTTTGTGTATTCTGTGTCCCATTAGAATATAAGCCCTTTGAAGTCAGGGTCTACCTTTTTTATTGCATTTGTATCCCCAGTGTTTGGCACAGTGCCCTGGAATATAGTAAGTGCTTGAAAAAAAAATGCTTTTTGCCTTGCCTTGCCTTTCCTTACCTTTTCCTTCTGGAGAGAGTCCAAAGCTCAGGGTTGCACTACAAGCCTGGTGGGGACTACACAGGACCCTGTAGGAGAGAAAAATTCACCTGAATGTCCATAATTAGCCCCACTGGCAAACCCCAAGTTCAATTCCCCCTCTGAGAGGAATCCAAACCATAGAGTGGCACTGATTATGGAGAACTTAAAGACCCTGTGGAAAAGCAGAACCTACCAGACTGGGAGAGAAATTGTATTAATTACTTAGGGGCTGCTGAGAGACCCTTTACATATTTTCTACATTTGTTAATGACTTATTTCAGTGTGTTGCATCTTCTGTATTTCTCTGTGAAGTGAAATCAGGTCTGTCCTGTGCCTGAGAGGGAGCTTGTAGTAGATTGAGATCTGACCTCGGATTCAGGAAGATCCCTGTTCAAGTCCAAACTCTAAAACCCACTGGCTGTGTGACTCCCGTCAGTACCCCCGGGCAACTCTTCAAAACTATAAATTGCAGAGAAAGCTCAAATCTGTATTAGCAGAAGAAGTTTCTCAACAGAAGTTCCCTTCACTGATTAAATTACAAGTTTGATCCAAAAACAGAGTTGGGGAGACAGGGAATTGATCTTGTATATTGCCCTGGATGCTTACATAGGAGAGGGGAACCCTGTAACCCACATCTGTGCAAACTCAGACAGGTGCTGTACATAAGCTGTATTTGATAATTTTCCTGGAGTAAACTCTGGACAAATGCAATAAGGAGTCAAAAAAATATTGCTCTTTTAGGGCAACTCCTGAGGGGATGGGGGAATTATACAAGTAAATAGAAAGTAATTTGAGAAGGGAGAGCACATTAACAACTGGAGGGATGAAGAAGTAGCACCTGAGCTGAGCCCAGAAGGAAGTTAGGGATTTGGAGAAGCAGAGGGGAGGAAAGAGCGAACCAGGCATGGGAGACAGCCTGTGCAAAGGGACGGAGAGAGGAAATGGTAGGTGGAGTCAAGGGAATAGCTAGTAATCCAAGTACAAGAAGGTAGGTAAGAGAAGTCTGATGAAGCCAGGGGCTTTAAATGCTAGGCTGAATTCCTATTTTATTTTAGAGGCAACAGAGATACATGGAAAGATTTTAAGTAAAGGAATAATATAGCCAGGCCTGTCCTTGGAGTATTGGGCAAAGAAATTATCTGACTGACTGATAATGAGACTGGGAATAAGGGCAATTACTATAGCAAGAATGATGACAAAACTGGAATATGCCCATAAGGATTCATGTATCTATGTAAAGGCCAAAACCACTACTTTAGGATAGGGTAGAGGAATGGAAAAACCATGTCAGAGTCAAAGATTTTTACTTTTCCCCTCTCCTTTAAAAAAAAATAAACCCTACAGACCATATCAGCTGTCTACCACTGATCTATACAATGTCATATATCTGGATGAAAGCTGAAAACTTAGCTAGGGGTTTCTAAATAAACTGGCTATTTTAATGGCAGAAACTGTCTATAATGACGGAGCTTAGAGATAGGCTTGGGGTTCCAAAGGAGATACGATGAACAGCAGTGTGGCATGGTGATGAAGGCACTGGATTTGGAGTTCAGACTTCAGCTCTTTGACTTATTGACTACATGACTTTGGACAAGGCATCTTACTCTGTTGGGCCTTATTTTCTTCAACTACAAAATGAAAGGATTAGACGAGATGATCTCAAAAGTCCCTTCCAGCTCTAACAGATTAAATGATATACAATGTCCTATCTGACTCCATACTATAAGAGAAAGGGAACTCCCTGCTGAAATATCCTAGCCCCTACATGGAGTCCTAGCTCCCCTATTAAACCCAAAAACAGAAGAGAATTTTTTTTTCTTTTAAAAGAATACGTTCCCAGCTCCTGCCTTTGTACCCTCCCTCCCCCATAATGAGTCATCTAGTCATTAAGCATTTACTAAATGCTTACTATTCACCAGGCACTGTACTAAATATTGTGAGGATCCAAAGAAAAGCAGAAACAGTCCCTGCCCTCAAGAAGCTTACGGTAAAAGCTTTGGTACATAAAAGACATAAAGAAAGTAGATGAAAGGTACGCTCAGAGAAGAAGGCACTATCAGCTGCAGAGATTTGGAGGCCTCTCGTACAAGGCGAAATTTGCCCTGAGCCTTAAAAAGAGCTCTGGAAACTAAAAAGCAAAAATGAAGACAGAGAGAATTCTCGGCATAGGGTCCAGCCAGTGAAAAGGCATAAAGACCAAAGATGGCATTATCTGTGCCAAGAACCCCAAGTTAGACCAATATATGACCAGACCAGACAGTGTGTGAGTAAAATGTAAGAAACTAGAAAAGAAAGAAGTGCCATATTATGAAGAGCTTTAGATACCAAATGAAAAACCTTACATCTGATCTTAGGGACAATAGGGAGTCACTGGAGTTTACTTAGTAGAGGATTAACGCAGTCAGACCAACACTTCAGGAAAATAGTTTTGACAGCTGAGTGAAGGATGGATTGGAATAGTGATAAGCTTGGTGCAGGAAGACAGTGAGAAGGTTACTATAACAGTCCAGGGGAGAGGTGTTGAGGGCCTGAACTCAGGTAGTGATTGTGGATTAACCCTGCCCCTGGCCCCTGTTGCCAAAGTAGGTCTGGAATCCTACCATGACTTTCCTCTAAGACATTAGTGATAATGATGACTTTGGGGTTGATAACACTGACTCTGGGAAGATCCTAGAAACTGAACTTTGTTGTGTCTCTCTAGGAGACTATCATGTCTCTGCTGATAGGGAGGTGAGCACAGCTAGCTGTCAAGTGATTGGAAACAGGAGGCTGTAAAGCCCCTCCATCCAACCCAGCGCTGGTAACTGCCCAGTGCCCATTGTAATCCCTCAGGGAGAAGAAGGAAATCCCCTTCTAGCTTCACATTCCTTGCACCAGTCTTTTCCTCATACTGTATCTAGGGAGGACAGCTAGATGTAGCAGTAGATAGTGCTCTGGACCTGGAGTCAGGAAGATCTCAAGTCACCTCACCTCTATTGGCCTCAGTTTCCTCAACTGCAAAATGGGGGTAATAACAGCATAGCACCTAGCTTGTAGAGTTGTTATGAGGATTAAAAGTGATAATAGTAGGTGCTAAATAAATTCTTATTTCCTCCCTGTTTCCCATACCACACACACACACACATACACACACGCACGACACTGAGGTTCAGCCCCCACCCCAAAGCCATCAAAGGACTACCCGCCCCCCCCCTCATTCTTATCCAAGGTCTACACAGTTCCCATAATTCTTTTCACAACATTGAGCTTCAGCCTGGGCTGGGAGAGAGTAGGAGGAGAGAGGAATTAAATGCAAAGATTCCATTTCCCTGATGGCAGTGCCTGGCTTTTCCAACAGCAGTGGCCTAGTGCCTGTACACTCTGTGCTTGTGTGTTTGAACTGCAGGAATGGAAAAGCACCGGTCAGCCCTCGTGGGCCAGCTCCCAGGCATGTGGCTCTGACGGCAGCAGCTGATGTCTTTTCTAATCCATCTTCTAAAAGAGGCCTTCACGCCCTCGTCTTCTTGTATCCTTCTCGCCCAACCTCTTTCCCACCTCCTGACCTCCCCCCTCACCCATTCCCACACTACAGCACTGTAAGATATACCAACAGGAACAGTCTTGGCATGAATTCTTCATCTGAGGCCCATTAACTTCTTTTTATTGTATGTTGATAACTACATTTCAATATCATTGTTTTCCTTTGTAATTTTTTTGCAGATATTTTTATTTTAGGCATTTAAAAATTGTAGGTATTTTATTTTGGGTATCTAAAACTCTTATTCTGAGAATGGTTCTGAGAATAGGCTTTTAACAGATTGTTGCCAAAAGGGTTTATGACACAAAAAGGTTAAGAACCCCTGAGCTAAGGATATTAGGGTAGGTGATAGTGAAAAGGACAGTTTGGGTGGAGAGTAGGTTGTGACCTCCCCAATGGCAGCCAATCAGATTGTATAATAATAATCATCTCTATTCCAAAAAGCATTTTACAAACATTACCTCACAACAACCCTAAGAGGTAGGTACTATTATTATCCCCATTTTACAATGAAGGAAACCGAGGCAAGCAAACATAAATAGTAAGTTCTTGAGGCCAAATTTCAGCTCAGGTCTTCCTGGATCCAGGCCCAGCGATCTGTTCACTGAGCCCTGAAGTTCCCATGGTGAGGCTGCTAGTCTTGGGGAGGGGTATTCATGAGAACCTATTACCACCTTGGATTGTAAATTCCTTGAGAACCTTGACTTTCTTTGTAGCCCTAAAGTTTAGCACCACGCCTGACACATGATAGGTCCTCGATAAACGCTTGCTGACTGACTATTCTTGATCACACTCCTGAAGAATTGAATTCAAAGTCTCCATTAGCCACTAGGCAGAGTCTTCAGCCAGTCCTTGTCTTTTACCTGCCTTGGGCATATTGCTTTGGGGTTACCTGCCTCCTCAAGAAGAGAACTGGGCTCCCATGCTCTATTCTAGCCCTACCTCACATTCCTGAAAAACAATTCAATTTGGGGCTTCAATCTAAGGGGGTCCTTCCCAGCAGGGGAAGAGGAGGTAAAAAAGCTCCCCCAAATACTGACATGAAGGAGGCATGGAATAGGCAGCCTTATGCCCACACAAGAAAGGGAACACCAAGCAAAAAAGCATTGTAGAATACTGACAGTCAGCTGAGAGACCAGTATTCCAACCCCAATGAGATATTTCCAACAGGGCTACTAATGAATTAAGTGGTGCAGTGGATGGATTGCTGGTCCTGGAGTCAAGAAAACTCCTCTTTCTGAGTTCAAATCTGGCCTGAGACACTTACTAGCTATGTGACCCTGGACAAGTCACTCAACCCTATTTGCCTCAGTTTCCTCATCTGTAAAATGAGCTGAAGAAAGAAGTGGTAAATCATTCTAGTATCCTTTTCAAGAAAATCATAACTGGGGTCAGGAAGAGTCAGACACAACTGAAAAATTCATTAACTATTAATGGTATCACCATCCTCCCCATCACTCCCTAGGTGTCATCCTTGACTCCTCACTCAGTCACCTCCCATATCTAATCTATTCCAAGTCCTGTTGGTTT